CTTTATTGATTGTCACCAATAAAACAAGCAAGGATGAACCAGATGCAAATGGGTGCAGGACATCTCCGTCTCATTCTTTTTTCATGATTTGTATAAGTGTTAACCCAAACGTGTCTCACAACCACTTGCGTACATGCCTGCTTTGCACGTAGCTTACAGTTCATTAGCAAATCTCCCATAAGAATTCTCTTCATTTTCAACTGTTGTTCCCAATAGTTTGCCCATAGGTAAAGCTTGGAAGGGCAAAGTCAAAATGATAGCAATACAAGTGTTACCTTAATACTGCTTACTTGAGATTTTTAAAAAACATATAACTCTCAAGGGCTTAGCAGATCTTAGGTGCAAGGATGTTCTTTTCAAAGTGTCACTTTGCCAGAAGGAAGGAAGGCACCTTCCATCAATAGAAATAGCAAAAGCATTCCTCAAATTGTATTTATCTCTCTAAATTCTGAAAGCATATTAAGGAAGAATAACAATATTCCACTTTGGTTACAAATTGCTAATTAAGAACTACAATTCTCCCAGAGGTAAAATATTAACATTTTTAAAATGAAATTAAACATCACAATCTTCTTCTAATTGTTATAAAAATATTTAGCAGCAATATCTGTTTAATTATTTAGACATTTGTTAGTGGTGTAAATATTATCAGCATAGGCATAAATATTTTCTTCTTTGTCCACAGACAATCAGCTAAGGATATGTTGCTTGTCGAACTTCAATTAAGGTCTGTTTAAGGCTGCCTGCTGGCCACAAAATAATTACTTACACTTTCTGATGCCTGAATCTGTTAGATATAGCAGGAAGAAGGGTTCTTTGTTTTTGTAAGTTGGGAAAGGTTGCTTTTTCTTATATAAATTTCATTGTTGTTGTTATTAAAGAGGATTAGGGTGGGGTTGAAGTAGTTGAAAATCTAATTAAACTAATCCCTTTAACAGGAATTGTTTTCATATTGATAATTCTCTGTAACAACAGTATTACAGATCATACCCACGTGAAATATTTACACTAAATATTTCAGCCTGTAATCTCTCCTCCAGCTTTTTCTTTGGGGAATGATAAGATTTATGGCTTCTTCACCTTTCTTCTTCTTTTTTTCTCTCTCTCACCTAAAGTGCAGGGAACCAAAATGAAATCTTTTGTTTTCTTCCTGCTTCCTCTGTTAATTTTCTCTCAATGTCATCATATCTCAGTAAGTTATGTTAATAGCCATCAAATCACTAATCTCCTAAAAGAGCTATGAAATAGAACAATCCAATTGATTTTTCCCCCCTTTGGTATCTACAGTCATTTCGTGTAGATTCTCATTTGAAATGATTTGTTTACCCATTGATTTCAATAAATTGTTATGCTGCTGAAAATATCACTAAGAGTAGAGTCAAATGAAGGACGAAACTGTCATTCTGCTCAACTTCATCTGATCATCTCCAGTATAAATTGGGAAGTGCTCTCAATCAGCTCAAATGTCATGTTATCAGGGAGACCTTCCCTGACTTCCCAAAATAAATTTACAATCCCTGTTCCTCCCCCAATACCACAGCCTCCTTTAGCTGGCTTTGTTTTCTCCATACACGTCATCACCGTGTAACATTATAACACATTATGTTTGTTTTTTTAGTGCATCTCCCCCAACTAGGATGGAAGTGCCACAGGAAGCAAGGACTTGGATTTCTCTACTGCTGTATCTTGAGAGCCAAGCTGAGCGACTTAAATATGGCAATCAAATAATTGTTGCATGTATGAATCTTTACTCTCATTTTTTTAGGTGCCTAAAGCACCAGATCTGTTCAAAGCAATGAATAATTTGATATAAATGTAGACATTTGCCCTGAGCTGGCTGATCTACTGAGCCTCAAGGGAAGGATGCCCACTGAGAAGAGACCTAGTGCTTTCCGTAGCCATGCCTTCATTAAAGGACTAAAACTGCAGTGCTGTTTCACCTCCACGTGCTTACAATATCAAGAGTGATACAAAGCAGAGAATCTCTAAGGATGCCCTCCAGGACATGATTTCTGTAGAATATGAACAGGAGTTACTAAACCACACAGAGACTCCATGGTCACATAAGTCTGTGAAACTAGGTGTTACATGAAGCTAAACAGGATTCTTAATTTCAAGATATCTCAGATTATGAAAATGTTCATTAGGACTCTCCAAGACAAGAAGATTAGGCTGTGCTTCCCAAACTCATTTGATCTTAGACATTTCCTTTCTACCAGCCAATCCTGCTTTACGACAGGGCTACAACAGAGGGAACTCCAATGACTTGGGAATTCAACAAGCCAGGGAAGGGGTAAGAGGCACCAGCCTCCTCTCTCCCTCTTACTGACTTTATTATGTGACCTTGGGCAAATTACTTAACACCTCTATGTCTCAATTTCCTCTTCTCTAGGTAGAGATGGAAAGGATTACCCAGGAAAATGTATGTAGTGTCCAGCACACAAGTGCTAACTAAATGGTGGTTATTGGCATACCTTTTATTGAGTATAGGCATAGAGCCTTTTACATAGATTTCTTCCAGCATATTTTATAAGATACGTTTGTTAGTATTGACCAATTTCCAGAAGCAGCCTAATATGTCGTCTCCTGTGGTCCCAGTGCCATATCCCTATCTGAGAATCCCTGCACACCTATGCTGAAAGTAAACAAATGTTATCTTTCAACACGACTTACTACAAACGTCTGATAACTCACTTTGGTGGATCCCGCAGAAAGAAACAAGGCTCTTCCCCCTTGTTTCCATACCTCTGACCTCAGATAAAGACACTTTTGTCAGGAGGAAGATGGTAGCATCCAAGTTCATGATTGCACAGATGGCTACATGCTGACAGATTTTGAAGTGACCATATTTTTTCAGTAAATTTCAAATGAAGGTGTGATTTGTGTAAATCTGACCTCTTCCTGTAAAATGTGCATTTACATATATTTAGAATTTATAAATCCTGACAGATTCCACAATATTTATAGCCCTCCATAAAAAGCCTTTGCAGTTTGCAGAGCTTTGCATTTGGCTCTCTGGCATGCTTAAGAGAATTTAAATAATAATAAATTTGGTGATTTATTCCACCTGGAACAGAAACTTATTTCCCCCCTCCCTTGGCTCATTTTGAAGGGGATACTATAAATAGGACCACAGACGCTGGGATCAGGACTAGGGAATTGAAATTCGAGAGAGAAGTACAGAAATGTTTTCATTATCACTGATTCCTTGAGTGTATTTTTAAAACAGTTCTGTTCCTCAAATAATGTACCATCTCTCCTTTCTCCTGTCCTATCACAATTATACTTGAGTCTCCAAAACTTGTTGCCAACTTCAGGATTCAGTTACATTAACGGGAAAGAGAGAGTAAGAGTATTAGCTGACTAGGTAGGAGGAAGTTGCCTCTAGGGAGACCAAAGCAATTCTCCCATGTTCATCTTCTATTTCATAGGAGTCAGCCAGCAACTGAGTGTCGGTGTCTAGAGGGTAAATTCATTGTCTGAGATCTAGCTCTTGTATTCTACAGGTATGATGGAAAGCTCACAGTTCATGACAAAACAAAAAACAAACAAAAACCAAGAAACCTAATTATAATTGCAAGAGGAAGCCTAAGGACAGTGTGAGGATCAATTCTTTTCACCCAGCCATGGTCATAATAACTGGCTATTATGACCATGAATAAGAGAGAAACACCTGAATAGTGGAGTGCAAATGGTACTACCTGTTTTCTTAAAAATGAAATCAACAAAAGTCTGGTAACTTGTCATTTGCCATAGAATCTACCGAGCAACCATTTAGTGTAGCATAAGCAGTGTTGTAACTTGCTGTAATATAACTAGGAGATTTCTTTGTAGCTTCTTGTCTGAATGGCTGTGAGGGAAGCAGCGTTCGTTAAAGGGAGAATAGTAAGAACTAACATCCATGAAGAACTGCCTATGGGCTGGCCCAGAGTAACAAACGCATCAAGTGGCTGTGGTTTGATGTGCAACAGCCTCCTAATTGAGTAGCAGGTTTTCTTGTCCTGATAACTTGGAGCACACTCCCAGCCCCAAGACTTTGCTGAGCAATCCTTTTATCTTTACCTAACAAGATGGCAGATATTTGGACCAAGCCCCAGAGCCTTTAGGGTACCACATTTTAATAATTTGTGGTGAGCAAAGTAAATGTTTTAAAACCAGACATTGTGAATCAAGGACCCAGTTAAGTGTGATGGATTTCAAGGAAAGCCAAAAAAAAAAAAAAAAAAAACAAAAAAAACCAGAAAGAAAAAAAAAAAAAAAAAAATGCTGAATGTTGTATGGGAGTATTGTCTCCCCCACAGAACACAGGTATCTATGGTTCACGGCTGATTCTAAAGCTTTGCTTGAAAAAAAAAAAAAAAAAAAATGCTGAATGTTGTATGGGAGTATTGTCTCCCCCACAGAACACAGGTATCTATGGTTCACGGCTGATTCTAAAGCTTTGCTTGAAAAGTGACTTTTTAAAGAAGCGTACTCTTAAGGATTGTCCTTCAGGCAGGGAGGAATTTCCCTTGCTTTTCTATAGCATCTTTCTAAGAGGAAGCGGAGGTATTAGAGCTGTTAGACAGTTGCTCAGTATCTTCGTGCTTCTGTGACCACATTATGGGTCTAACACATATGGAATAAATAAACTTGTTTTCATTTCTTAAAGCACATGGAAGGAAACAAGACAAGAAAATTACCATATTGCTTTTTTTAAGCTATTAAAGAGGAGAATCCAGTGAGGGTAAATAAAAATGATTACTGAAAACAGATTTTGTTTTTTGGTTTTTTTCTTTTTGTTCTTTTTTTTTTTTTTTTTTTTTTTTTTTTTTTGATTTCTAGATATCAACCACTTTCCCTCTCCTCCTACTTTGGCAATTTTAATTTTTATCAATACTTTTTCTTTCTCTCTCTTTTTTTTTTTTTCCTTTTCTAGCCTCTTACTGAGCAACAGCTATATGGCAAGACTTGCGGGAAACCAGTGATTTGATGCACGCTCTTTTGTTCTTCTTCCATAGGGCAATCCCTACATGTGCAATAATGAGTGCGATGCGAGTACCCCTGAGCTGGCACACCCCCCTGAGCTGATGTTTGATTTTGAAGGAAGACATCCCTCCACATTTTGGCAGTCTGCCACTTGGAAGGAGTATCCCAAGCCTCTCCAGGTTAACATCACTCTGTCTTGGAGCAAAACCATTGAGCTAACAGACAACATAGTTATTACCTTTGAATCGGGGCGTCCAGACCAAATGATCCTGGAGAAGTCTCTCGATTATGGACGAACATGGCAGCCCTATCAGTATTATGCCACAGACTGCTTAGATGCTTTTCACATGGATCCTAAATCCGTGAAGGATTTATCACAGCATACGGTCTTAGAAATCATTTGCACAGAAGAGTACTCAACAGGGTATACAACAAATAGCAAAATAATCCACTTTGAAATCAAAGACAGGTTTGCGTTTTTTGCTGGACCTCGCCTACGCAATATGGCTTCCCTCTACGGACAGCTGGATACAACCAAGAAACTCAGAGATTTCTTTACAGTCACAGACCTGAGGATAAGGCTGCTAAGACCAGCCGTTGGGGAAATATTTGTAGATGAGCTACACTTGGCACGCTACTTTTACGCGATCTCAGACATAAAGGTGCGAGGAAGGTAAGAGAAACCTTGTCTGCCTTCAATGGGAAAGGGTGTGTCCAAAGAAAATGCCAGAATATCAGTCTCACAGCTCTAAAGTAACATTTGTCGATTTCTACTGCCACATTTTCTTTAGGAACACCAGTGTAGAAGTAGGTTCTGAAGTTCTGAGACCCTTCATCCTCAGCAGTAATTTGTAATCCCAAACTTGCTGCCACTGAACATGACATGATTCTTCAGAATTTAAATAAAAGTGAATTTTAAAAAGTAACTCCCTAGGTTGGGAGGCCCTTCAGGTCTTTAAGGCAACGAAGCCAGGGAAAGCAAAGCCATTTGCCCTATAAGGAACTGAAAACTAGAAATACAATATCATGGTTTACAAATGCAAAACAGGGATTCAACAGGGTACACCAACCAATTTATGTTTTGTTATATTGCACAAACAATCTGGAAATTCGAGTTTTATTTCTTTAAATTTATTAAACCAGAATCAAAAGCATCTCAGAAACATTTGTTAAGTTGGGGCAAGCTCTACTTTTCAGGATTTTAGATGTTATTATGTCAGAAAGATATACTAGCATTTAAAATATAGACCTGAGTTGGGCTCCCTTCATCTTGTAGATCAATCACAAATGGACCAGTTTAAACACATTAATTAAACACAGTCAGGGATAGCTTTGGTTTTGATAATATGTCAGAGACAGAATTGAGCAAGTTTCTGAGAGTTTTGAAGATGTTTAAATGAAAAACTTCAATAATGAGAACCAGAACCACCGCATAGAGATTTTCAACCAGCTTTTTAAGTGTGGTGTATTATCAAAATGACCACCTGAGGGGAATGGAGGCATGAGACATTGAGTGGAAAGACTAAACGTAAGAGCGGAGTATCTAGCAAATGGAAGCAAAGGGAAAGTCAAGGAAAGAAATAAATGCCAGTTAAAAAAAAGCCAAGATATCTTTAAATTGAAATATATGAGAATAAGAATATAAATAGTAGATGTCATGTAGGTTTAATTATTGAATAATAAAATTCAAACAGGTAAGGCACGATTGATTCAATTTATTGGCTTTAAGCATCCTTTAGGCAGCCCAGTTCTCAGAAACTGGACAAGTGTTGAGACTTTCTGGTCTGTCAGAGATTTGTCTTATGTATGTGTGCTGGAAGAAGGAAGAGGTCACTGCTGTGAAGATAAAGGCCATAGTGGGAACACAGCATGGAACGGTGGACTTGGCTATAGCGTGGTGTCAAAGGTTTCAGAGTCTTAGCTGTGGAAAAGTAGCAGAAACTGGTGGCCGTCTACTGGCAGCTTTTTCTAGCTTCATGTTCCTCATGGAAGAATCAAGAGCCTTTATCTGTGAAGCTTCTCTTAAAACTTTTTAACAAGCTCTTGGTGGTATATAATGAATATATCTTTAAAGCAGAATAATATTGAACTTGTGAGTTCTAAGGTGTAGAGGATAGTTCATGTATTATTAGCAGGGTACATGACAGGGCAATATGGAGCTGTTGTCTTAAACATGAATTTGTTATTTATAATAATACACAGCCATTATACTCAGGAACATTTTAGCAAAAGGCTTTGTATCTCCAGGATCTTATTCTTGGGGACGTATGATATGTGAAAATAGTTGAAATTGATAGTATTAACAATAGCTTGACACCGTGGAATGACAAATATTCAGTTCATCTACATAAACAATGGTAAACAATTCATAAACTAAGATTTGAATTTTAATCCTGATGTAATCCACATCACTCCATAGATTCATCTAGGTCAATTTTCTTATAGTGTAAGACATCCTTAACTGAGCCCAAATTCCTATATCTCCACTTCCCCAAATACTCTTATTTGCCACTTGTGAAAAAGGCAATCTTATTCTTTTTTTTTCCCCCCATTTATTTATTTTATTGCATTTTAGGTTTGGGGGTACATGTGAAGAACATGCAAAAT